CAGCAATTCCACCAGCCCAGCAATTCCCACAGATCCTGATTAAATCCCAGGAACCATGGATAACCCAGCCATCCACCCCTGCTGCCCCCACAGTGTCAGCACTGTTAAGGACTGTGAGGGCCTGTTTGCAGCCTTGTTTTAACTCAGGGCTGTTAATTTGTTTAATTAATTTGTTTTAAGAACAGGAACGCCCCCACCATCACCAAATCTGGGGTGGCACAGAGGCAGCAGGTTAGCAAACCCTTGTTTAATGAATGTAAGAGTCTACTGAAAAATCAGAGCACTGTGAAAAGGCACTCAAAATTTGATATATGGAGCCTCTCCAGCAGGTTTTGCTGCTGGCAAAAACATACTGCAATTACAGGAATACCCCAATTCTCTGAGAAAAATGAGACTTATGAAGTCACAGCTGGAGTTTTTGACAAAAAATCAGAGTCTCTTGTTAGAAACTCATCTGGAATTTCCCAGTTTCTTCTCTTTTGACCAAGCACTCGTATACAGAGATTTTAAAGAGAAACACAATGTAGTGTTGCTCCTATTCTCATGCACTGCTTGTTCCTGCTGAACAGAACTGCAGCTCAGGCAGCAACACATGACTGACACTAAGTGATGGATTAGACTGGATTTTTAACTGCATTAAAGGAGGAAAAGCATTCCCTCTAGAACATTCCATGGACATGAGGTGGGATATTCCAGGGATGCCCAAGGTCAGCCATTCCCAGGGCTTGGAGCTGGGTCCAGGTGCCTGTGTCAACCCTGCCCAGCCCCTGCTCCTCTGCCCTCCTCCTCCACACTTCCATCTCTGGCATTTGGTCACACAATCAGCCCATGGTCACCTTATCCAGGCCTTTAATTAACATTTTATAAGGAATCATCCAGTCCACTTAACAAATCCATCAGAGCCAGTAATCAGATCACCAGGCCCCAGGCACCACCTGCAGCCCACACCATCCCAGAGCTCCACTGGGAGCTGCTTCTGTTTGTCTTCCAAGGCAGGATCCCCATGGAATCCTGTCCCTGAGTCCCCTAAACATAGCCAGGGGAGGACAGGAACCCCATGGAATCCTGTCCCTGAGCCCCCTAAACACAGCCAGGGGAGGACAGAACCCCATGGAATCCTGTCCCTGAGCCCCCTAAACACAGCCAGGGGAGGACAGAACCCCATGGAATCCTGTCCCTGAGCCCCCTAAACACAGCCAGGGGAGGACAGAACCCCATGGAATCCTGTCCCTGAGCCCCCTAAACACAGCCAGGCACCCCAGGGAGGACAGGACCCCACATGGAATCCTGTCCCTGAGTCCCCTGAACACAGCCAGGCACCCCAGGGAGGACAGGACCCCACATGGAATCCTGTCCCTGAGCCCCCTAAACACAGCCAGACATCCCTGGGGAGGACAGGACCCCATGGAATCCAGTCCCTGAGCCCCCTGAACACATCAGGCACCCAGGCAGGACAGGCCCTGCTGACCTTCGATGAGCTGGGAGAGCTGCGTGCCCCCCACGCTCTCGGTGACATCGCTCTTGCGGGAAACTTTGCGGTAGCGGATTTTGTAGCCCGTGATTTGCCCGCTGTGGGTCCCAGCAGGAGGGGGCTGCCACTGCAGCAGGATGCTCTGGGGAAGGCAGCACAAGAAGGTATTAGGAAAAAAGTCTTTAGGAATGCTTTAAAAAACGTCTCCACACACAATTCCAAAGGTACAATTCCAAATATTCCACTTTCTCTTCTCAAGTGCCCAAGGTGCTCCAGAAGTGTGTCTGTGTGTGCCCACACTGCAAACAACAGTGAGCAGGGATTCCAGCTCTGATCCTCCAGGGCCTCATTAAATCCCATCATTAGCACTGTCACTGCATCCCACCACAGCCAGCCCACAGCTGGACTGCAGCTTCTCCAAGCCCCACGTTCGTATTTTCTCTATAGAGTTCAAAAGCTGCATGGGAGGAAAAAGACCCAAAGCAGCTCCAGAATGTGGCCAATCTAAGACCTCCCAGCCTTTTATTTACCCGGTATCAGCATGAAATCCTCCAATCTTACCTTGGAATTCCGCACCTCCAGCGTCAGATTCTGTGGTGGAGCACTGGGGACTGGAAACATTAAAGGAATTACAACCTCAAAACTTTCAAATATTGTATTTCCACACCCAACTACTCTGTGCTCTCATTTGCTATGGAAGTACAAACCATTCTGGCTTAAGGCAGCACATAAAGGAACTACCAATCCTCCCACAGGTACTTTCTGAAACAGTGAATGGCTGAGGAGGGTTCTGTATTTTTGTCATGAAGAAAAAACTCTTTATTCAGGTCTTTATTTTCACACCTATCTAAATAAAATATGTTTTATATTTAAAAACACTTCTCAAGCTCTCAGAGAAAGTCCCCCATCCAGCTCTTTCCCAAGGCAAATCTTTAATGAACACACTGCTTGACTGGGGGAACCCACATTTAAATTTCTGGCCTGGATTTTGTTATCCTGATTTTGTGTAACAGGAAACCTCTGAGTCCTCGGGGCCTTGTGACAGTGAGGAGGTGAAGAGCATCTCAGACACTGGGGCTGCCTTTGAACTCCCACTCCTTGCTTGTTCTTTACTTGCTGCTCATGGCAGTGAAATATAAACAGAAAGGGAGTGGAAGAAAAATCCTGGAAGCTGGGAATTCCTTGTGGTACCACAGCAGAGGTTGGCCCCTGGCAAAGCTGAGGCTTCCCTGGCAGGAAGGGGAGGCTCCACTGAAGCAAATGATGGGCAAAGGAGCACAGGGATAAAGGGATGAGGACTGCTCCAGCCTGCAGAATTCATTTTCCAAATAACTCAGCCCAGCCACAGCAACATCCCAGAGAACCCCTCTGAGGGCATGAAGTAGAAGGAGTTTGGAAAGGCTCACTGGGATAGGGTGAAACAAACCCCCCTCCCCACCACAATGGAGAGGGGCAGGATTTGCCTTCCCTTCCCTTGCCCCCCCAGCTGAACCTGAAATCACCACACCCGAGGATGAAGAGCTATGGGCCTGAGAAGCAGCACAGTGAAGAGGAGAGGATACAAAGCCAAGCTTGCTTTGTTCCTCCAGGAGCAGGGACACCTTCCACTATCCCAGGGTGCTCCAAGCCCAAGTGTCCAACCTGGCCTGGGACAATTCCAGGGATCCAGGGGCAGCTACAGCTTCTGTGGGCACCCTGTGCCAGCCCTGCCCACCCTCACAGGGAAGAACAGGGATTTCTATGGAAAGGCATTTCCTGGAGTGGGAGCAGCCAGGCAGGAGCACCAGGACATGCTGATGGCTCAGAGACTCTGAGGGAAGGGCCTCAATCAGGCTGTGAGGTTCAGATTCCACTCCCAGCTGTAATCCCTGATCATGAATTCCAGGATAGGAGAAGCAATCCTCAAGAGCAGCACATAAACCTGGGTTCAAATGGTAATACCTGCAGAGTTATCCCTGCAACAAGGCACTGTAACAGATTAGGAGCAAAAACCTACATAAAAATGCAGATGCCTTGTTAAATCAGGGCTAAAGGAAGCTTAGGGAGAAATCCCTGCAGGGAACATGGAGATTGCTCCTGGACACCACAACAGGAAAACATGGGAGGAAAATGTGCACCATTTCAGAAAGATTTGAGAGCTTCACAGGGTTATGACATTGTAAGAAGCAAGATTACATCCTTCAGAGAGCTTTAGAAAGTATGTACCTACAGGTTAAGTGTGAAAACTCAAGTTGGAGAAGAAAGAACTCCAGGAAAACTTAAAAATGACATTGTAACTAATAATAAATTTTTCTTCAAACAACCAAGGAGCTGGCAGCCCTTCAGAGAAATCAGTGATCAAACTTTCAGGAAGGGCAGAAAAAGACAAAGATAAGGCCACACAAATCTCTCTTTGCATTGGTAGTGAGGGGAAGGGAAAGCAGAGGTTTCCTTGACAGCCTTCCAAAGGATTCCCATGGTCTCTCCAACTGAAGTGTAAGGGCTTATGGAAGAGTCAAACACAGGGAACAGCAGCCTCTTGCCAGGGCCATGTGTTATCCATCCAGGAATTCTCAAGAAGCTGGGGAATGAAACAGCTGCAAGATTTCTGTAACCTCTACCAGTTTATCTTGATCCTGGAGGTGGCAAAGTGGGGCCAGCACTAAAATGGGAGCACTCAAACTCCACTTGCTGGTCAGAAACTTCCACCAAATCAACCCAAGTAACAATAAAGCAAGAAACTGAGAGAGCAGGAGCTAGAACAGGAGCAGAATAGGGATTTCTCCCTCCTTCAAGGGAAATCCCTTCAATTTTAAGCAATGAGGGCATGGGAGGGAAGTGCTTGCCAGAGTAAGGAGCTGATTGAAAGAAAGGCCAGAGCAGGAAGATATGGGGGTAGATGAGCTGTGTGATCCTGTGGTAAAGAACTGTACAAAGACATTGGGATGATTCCTCTAGGTGCTCAGAAGAACACAAAAAACTCCTTACATGCAAGTAATGCCTCACTTACACCTTTGATACTGTTTTAGTCCCCTCTACCTCAGTTTTTAAAACAAAGGAGAAAAGGAACCCGGAGAAAAGTTCAGAAAAAAGCACTAAAGGTTAAATCAGCTTCCACAGGAGAAATGGGCATCATTCCTATGTCTTTGGAATCTGGAAAATGGATGAACCAAGGAGACCATGGTAAAGATCCACAGAATGAGGAGTGGGACAGAGGAATAACCAGTGGACACTGAGTATTGCTTCTTTCAGGAGCACAGCCCCAGGCAACAAGAGACCCCAACACAGAGCAGGGGCAGAACAAACAGAAAAAAGGGATTTTTCAGAGAAAATTTATCTGTGGAATCTTTGCCCACTTGATGTGGATAAAAGCTGGTGTGGGCTCAAGAAGATGCTGACAGGGCTCATGGAAGAGGAATTGAATTAGCAAATACACAGAAATCATTGCAAAGTCAGGAAGTGCACCAGAAACAAGCCTGAACCTAGAGAGAGTTTGGGACAATATTCCCCTCTGCTCCTGGTCACTCCTGGGGAGAGGATTCCAGGCTCTGCTCCCTTTCCCTCTGAGTGTTCTTCTATATAAACTTCTCTCTAACAAACACAAGTTACCCACTAACTCTGATCACTCTGCAGTTGCTCTTGTATCTCTGTTTGCTCACATCACCTCTTTATCTGCCTTATTGAAAATACTGACTTCACATCCTGCTCTTGCCACTCTGTGCAATGGATTTAACAATATCTGCACTGGAGTGCAAACATGGGAACACAATTAAAATAAAACCACTCCAAAACCGAGAGTTTGCTCATATGTGAGAGAACCCAGAAAATAATTTGGAGTTGGTGCCTTCAGTGTATATTTTTTTTCTGTCTACGCTCAATGTAGGCTCAATAACCCATGAAATAAATGGCTGCTGCTGGAATGAAGGACAGCATTCACAAAGGTGTCTGCAAGCACAATCCCACATCCTTCTGCAGCTGTAACAATTCTCCTTCACCCAGCTCCGAAAGGCCTCCGGGGGGATTTTGACCGTGAACAGCCACAGGCAACAACGATCAAAGCCCATAAAAGCCTGGTTAAAGATTCACTTGTGGGAAATTGCCAGGTAATTCCAGGAACAACCCCAAAATGTGAAGAAGTGGAGCAGCTTTACCGTCTGACAGGGTGCGGACCACGACGTCGTGGGTGGAGACGCCAGGGCCGTGCTTGTTGTAGGCGACCACGCGGAAGCTGTACTCAGTGAACTTCTTCAGGCCACTCACCGTGTGGGACAGGCCCCCCACGTCCACGTCCTGTCCCCAAAGACACCCCCAGGGAAAGCTCACGTCAGCTCTGCAGTGCCAGCCACACCACAGAGTCCCTGCACAGCCCACGGCAAGAGTGACGCCTCTGTGTCACCTCTGCAGGCACAGGCAGCACTTGGGAGGATGCCAGCTCTGAGTTTCCAGGAGAAAATTCTCCCTGTCCTATTTAAATCCTAACATAGATACTGGTCCTGGACATGAAAAGAGAACGGAAAACTCTCAAAGCCATCATAATATATATCACTATAATTGAAATAGTGGGATGCAGAAGTACAAAAGGCAACAGCCCTATTTAAAAATTGATGTAAAAAATACTTAAAAGCTAAGAAAAATATTCTTCCCCTTGTTTTTTAAAGCTGGAATGATACTGATATGCAATCAGATGGGAACGTGGCTGTGAGGACTGGGATTAATCCTCATTCTCAGGTGGCAGCCCATATTTCTACAAAACATACTGAATGCTTCAGTGGCATATGAAGAAAATTAAATTAATTGGATGCTCAGCAACATCAAAACATCAATCAGTGGGTTCCAGAACTCAAGAAAATTTGGATTAGGGAGCATGCCAAAACCAGTACTTAGCCTGAACTGCTAAAACCCAGCCCATAACTCTGTGCAAGCATCTTTAATACCATCTGCACCAGAACAGCTCAACAATGACATGGCTGCTCTCTGCCTTCTCCTCTCATGATTGGATGGAATTCACCAAAAGTTACTTGATCTTGACAAATATCAAAACAGGGCATCACCAATGAAATGGGTTTCATTCCCAGCCCAGACACAAACATTTCATGCTGGAATTCTGATTTTAAGCATTTCCCACATCTGGAGGCTAAAGGATTCAGCCTGTTAGAACAGCAGACCCTTCCCAAGGTGTCTGCAGCCTTTCAGGGCAGTTTGAGTGGGTGCAGCAGGCCCCATACCTGCTCTGTGTGCTGCCCCTTCTCCATGTAGTAGAGTTTGTAGTTCTGGATGTCCCCGTTGCCCGAGAGCGGCGTCTCCCAGGTGACAGTGATGGACGTGGGGGAGCTGGAGAAGGCACGGATGTTGGGAGCAGGGCCAGGCAGCTGGACTGCAACACAAGGAGGGAGCTCTGTTAGTCCCCAGCCTGGTGTGCCCAGCCCTGGCCAGCACCCCAGGAAAAGGAGGATTTTTCCCATTGTGACATTCCACACGGATCCACCGCAGGATAGAAAGGTGGGACCAAATTTCCAAAGGAGATCTTGCTCCTTGGGTCCCTTTTTGTCTAGAATGACCCTAACAAGTAACTTGGCATTTGCCTGAAGTTTTCTCTTTTTCAGTTAATGACCATTTAGAAATATTCCTGTTATAACAGTTTAGAGAATTTAACAAGGAATGTCCCATCAGTTCTTAATGGTGACAATAAATCCCACAATCCCACCGACCTGGAAAATCTTTGGAAACTGTGGTTTAAAAAAGCATGAGATTCTGGGAAAGGTTGTGAATGGGGAGAATAAAAAATAAAGTCACTCTCAATCGTGGAATATCCCAGCTCACCCTCGGGCTGCGTTGCCACCTTGAGCGGCGCCGAGCTCTCGCCGGGGCCGTGCCTGTTCTGGGCCACAACCCGGAACACATAAACTGTCTCTGGCATCAGGTTCTGGATCATCACCTGTGTCTCTCCAGGACGACTCGTGTTTTCCACACGTTCCCTTTGGGAAACAAAAGGGTTGGGCACAGACACCACCGGATTAGTAAATGAGGAGTAGCTGCTCCTGCAGCGTGTCCCATCTGAACATACCCAGTGTGCAAATGATATGGGATTTACACTGTGCTCCCTGCACAACACCACAACCGTGTGCCAGAAGTGCTGCTGACAAACTGCTCCCAATCCTGCAACTTCCCTTTGCACAAAACCGAATGGACTGAAGGAACAGAATAAATTACACTTGACACCCACAAACTCCGAGTGGTTTCTTTGTTATTCCCATGACAGCAAGTGATAATTCACAGTGACAGTTTATCCTACAGCTCGGGAGTCAGCACAGAAACTATTTTAGCAGCACACACAGTCTGGCAAGATTTAGGGCAATCCTGTTAATATTGTGGGGCTGCTTTTTGGGGATTTTTCAAAGGAGCTGTTTTAACGTGTTATTCTACCTCCAGCCTTGCCTTGGCTCTTGCTGATGTTTGGAATTGTTTGGAACACCCAGGACAGTGCTTTCACACAGAGTGGAGGTGAAGTGAAAATTCCCACCTCCAGTAACTCCAGGATACTGATCCAGGTGACCAGACCCCACCCACAGAAGGAACACACTGGGGATGAGAAGGGGCATCTCTGTCAGGCCAGCATGCTGTGAGCTGGGAGCCCTAACCCAGCTGGGAGCACAGGGGTCGTGTGTGGGGACACCTGGAAGGGGCATTGCTGCTGCTCAGTGACCTCCAGCAAACCCCTGGCACCGGAACACAACGCTCCCCCTGCAGAACAAGGCCTCTGCCAAACACCACCCAGGAAACTCCATCTGTTCTTATCAGGGATTGAGGGGAAGATTAGGAGATCAATCATTAAACCGAGGGCAGCCTTTATTCCAAGGCACTGCCGTGCACCTGAGCTTGCTGGAAGCTGTGTGTGGGTGACACCGTCCAGCCTTCCCTGGCAAGGAGCTCCCTGCTCCCTGGGAATGCCAAGAACTCCAAAAGGAGCAATCAGAAACTTCCCACTGAGTAAATGCAGGAGCCTGTGCTTGCTCTGAGCACTATCCTGCCCCTCTGGGCTGCCAGAGGCCCCGTGGGACAGGGACAGGCTGGCCTCGGCCCTAGAGACACCTGTTAAAGCATTTCTGACACAGAACTCCAGCACAACCATCCCAGTGTCCCCTTCCTCCCCGCCAGCCACTCTGCTTCAGTTTCTATCAGGGAAATACCATCTCCAAATCCCCATTTTAAATTTATTTCTTTTTACATCCACCGGTGTGGCTGATTTAGCAGAACTTGGCTGAAAACATTCAGAAATCCTTGTTGGTTTCTGCACTATTAAACTGTATTTATAGAAAGGGGAACAATGCACTCTCTGTAACTAAATACCTATTTACACCCTATTTTCTAGAATGTTCCCCTTCATAAGCTCAGCTAAAATGGTACTGCATAAAAGCTTCATTTATTCCAGCTCTATATTAATTTTCATTACTATTTTTTCCACTTTGAGCACAACATTTTCTTGAAAACACGTTTCCAAGTGGAGTTTCCTTTAAGACGTGCTGTAGCTACAAAGATGAGATCTGAGAGCCCAGCTTAAGTGCCAATGGATTCACAGCTGTGGGATAATATCCAGCTCCCATTAACATGCAAAATATAGCATTTTCTGCCTCAAGTAGAAGTGCACTCCCTGATTTGATCTCGGAAAAAATGGTAATCAGCAAACCAAGGTTATTATTTACAATTAGAAAAATTAAAAAAAAAAAAAATTGTTCTACTGGAAAGACAACATTTACCAAAAATAAATAGACATGTCACAGTATTGCAAATTTTCCATAATAAAGGAATAATAAAGGAATGTGACTTCACAACAGTGTGCTAAAAATAGGAGAGATTAATCTAATTAAGTGCTGTGTGAATCCTTCCTTTATGACCGTTCCTGGGGAGCCCAGAGCACCTTTTCCAATGTGATCAGGTTGGGCTAACAGGCACCAAGCAGATGGCCCCCAGGAATAACTGCATTACCCTGCAGGTAGTTATGACTATTCCACTCTAATCCCCAGTTAGGGAGCTTGGGAAACTCCAGTTAAGGTTCACAGGAACTCCCAAGCACCCAAGGGAAAAGCCTCCAGTGCAATCCCAGGAGTTTGGCTGGAAATGTCAAGGTTAAAGTTGCACTTGTATCTAAAAGAGCACCTTTGGGGAGCTGTTAGGGAGTGGATGCTGTGTGTGCCAGCCATGCCAGCTGTGGGGCCTGGCAGGGAGCTCCAGAGGCATTCTGAGTGTGATTACACACAATTAAACTCCATTTGCTGTGTCTGAAGCACACCACAGTGAACTGTGAACTCAGCAGTGTTTGAACATCCCACATGTGTAATTTACCACCTCAGACAAGCAATGTGCCATCAATTCTTTTATTTTTGTCCAAATCTCGAAGTCTGGGGTTCTTCCGCCTGAGTGCTTGTCTAAGGTTCCCCAGAATAAACCTCCCTGCAGCACTTCTGAATTTTCACACCCTTACCAGGGGAAGTGCTTTGAGTATGAAGTAAATAAATACCTGACATGGGGATGAAATAACCTTGCAGCTGTGTGAGACAGTAACATCCATATGATCAGATTCCCCCAGGCATCCAGGGCTGTGACAGGAGAGCCCCAGGACACCCCTTCATTCCCACCCCACTGCCCCCAGGGGAGCCTCTCTGATGTCACCAGGCCAAGGAGGGCCAAGTCACAGCTGGTGACACTGAGCAGCCCCTGCAGCAGGAACATCCCCTCTGCTACTGCTCCACTTTGAAATGTTCCTCTTGGAATCACAGAACGGGCTGGGTTGGAATGGAGATGAAAAGTGATCCAGTGTCACCCCCTGCCATGGGCAGGGACACTTTCCACCAGCCCAGGATGCTCCAAGCCCCATCCAGCCTGGCCTGG